GAGGGGGAGGAGGGGGAGGAGGAGGAGGGGGAGGAGGAGGAGAAAGGAGGAGGATGAGGAGGGGGAGGAGGAGCCGAGCCCTGTCCCCATCTCCATCCCGGCATCGACTTTTTCTGTGGCAAATCATGGGAGCCTGGCGCACCCTTTGAATTCCGTTGTTTGCGTCGATTAGCGTTGGCTAGCGTCTGGGAGTCGATCAGATAGCGCCGATTTGGCGTCGATTAGCGTCGATTCAGCATTGATTAGCGTCGATTAGCGTCGACTAGCGTAGATTAGCGTCGATTCGCGAGAGCCGACAAGATGGTGTGGGAGGCTCCCATGAGTTGCCACCGAGGACATTCAGGACCTTGCTTCCGCCGTCCTCCCCTCATATTTTTTGTTTTACATGTGTCTTGCATTGCATGCTGTTCAGACACGCCAGAATTCGGAGGCCACGATCTTGCCCACCTGGTCTTAAATAGGCCCTGACGGTGTCCGCAGCGGTGATCGTATGGAATCCTTATCCAGACCCACCATCTCAGCACCCCAGCTGGGGATATATCCCTCGAAACCCGAATTACACAGGCGACATCCCCATCGAGCTAAGGAGGATAAATCGTTCAGTGGGGCCCAGGGCATGCCCATGGGGATAGGGGTCGGTTGTACGATGCTCATCTTCGCAGGCTCTGCACGTGCCGCGGGCGCACTGCTGATCGATGATCCTCAGAACGTGTTTCGAGTAGGAGATCGACTGCGGAATCGTTTCCCAGGTTTATGTTCATTGAACCTGCGATGCTGTTGTACGTGGAGTGTCCGTCTGTCCACCAACATTCTCTGCTTGCTTCCGTACGTTGGGCGGAAACCTCAAGTTCGAGGTGAAGCCATTCTCTCGTCGAGCTCTTGCTCGGGTGTTAGTCCAATGTGTATGGTGTGTGTTTGTGAGTGAATGTGTGTGTGTGAATGTGTGTGTGTGTGTGAATGTGTGTATGTGTGAATGTGTGTGTGTGTGAATGTGTTTGTGAATGTGTGTGTGTGTGTGCTACCCCGTTCCCTCCCCTCATGGCCTCCTGCGAGTGACCCGATGGATCCCCTGCGGGCGGATCCCTGGTCTCCAGGCCGTGTGCTCTGGGCCGGCCGCGCGCGTTTCTCTGCCCGACCGCCTCCACCGCGACGCTGCGCGCGTGGACGCAGCGCCAGAAGTGCTCATCCCCTCGGCTCCGCCGGCAGCGCGCAGCCCGTGTCGGACCTCCTTGCGCCGCGTGCACCGTGTTCGAAGGGCTTCGGTGGACAGGCACACGTCGGCGCTGACATGCTGGGCCTCCCAGATGGGGCGGGGGTAGATGGCGTCGGAGGGTCGCGCCGCATCGCCGATGCATCGGCAATGCGGCTCGATGTGGTTTTTGTCCACGCTGGCGTTGCCGATGCACCGCCGGCGTCGCTGACACATCGTCTCGATGCATCGCCGATGTATCGGCGATGCTGCGCGATCCTCCGACCCCATCCACTCGGACCCCATCTGGGAGGCCTCTAAACACACGTTCTGTGGATCATCGAGCTTAGTCAGTCTGCGTAGACCCACGTGTGTGTAGGCTGTATCTCTGCAGTGATGCACCCCGTGCCGCCAGCCTCCCAGACGGTGATCTTGGGGCCATGCTGGGGCCATCAACCGGGAACGTACATTAGGCCTTTTGGGGGTCTTCGTGGGGCCTCTCGGGGCTATTTGAGGCATACACGAGCGGGGCTGTCATCAACCACAGGTAAGATAGCGCTGGAAGCAGAGAATGATTGAACAATTGGGGAAAAGCCTTTTCCTCGACCGCATGGGGCCGTCTTGAAGCCCACCCGGGACAGCCTGGAAACAGAACAGGCGATGGCCCACACGACAGCGACCCGCGCAGGGTTTTTCAGCGTATTTGTGCCCCCCTCTTGGGAGCGCCGTTTGCGCCTCTCGGTGGGTTCTTGGGGCCCTCGCTGAGCCCTCTCGCTGTCGTCCTTGAGCCCTCTCAGGTCGCGTCCGGGCTCGGGGCCCTCTGCGGGGCCTCCGGAGGCTCTCCCAGAGACCTCTGGGGCGTCATTGTGGCTGTCGTGCGGCAGCCCAGTGCGGCCAGGAGGCCGCCCCTCTCCCCCCCTCCCCCGGGCGGCCTGTTGCGACGCTGGGCCCCGCCCCTCTCCCCCAGCAGGCGGCAGGAAGGAGACGCGAGTAGGGAGACGAGAAACACCCACACACCCACATACCCACACACCCACACACCCACACACGCACACACGCACACACGCACACACGCACGCGAAAGCTTACACGCACACGCACACACACACACCCACACACTCACACACCCACATACCTACATACCCACACACCCACACACCCACACACCCACACACCCACACACCCACACACCCACACACCCGCTCACGCACACGCACACGCACAGGCACCCGCACGCGCACGCGCACACGCACGGGCACGCGCACGCGCACGCGCACGCGCACACGCACACGCACACGCACACGCACACGCACGCAGACGCGCTCACGCACACGCGCTCACGCACACGCACGCGCACGCGCACGCGCACGCGCACGCGCACGCGCACGCACACGCGCACGCGCACGCGCACGCGCGCGCGCACACACACACGCACAAGCACACGCACGGGCACGCGCACGCGCACGCGCACGCGCACGCGCACTCGCACGCGCACGCGCACGCGCACGCGAAAGCTTACACGCACAGACACACGCACACAGCCACACAGCCACACAGCCACACACCCACACACCCACACACCCACACACCAACACACCCACACACCCACACACCCACACACCCGCACACGCACACGCACACGCACACGCACGCGCACGCGCACGCGCACACGCACGCGCACGCGCACGCGCACGCGCACATGCACACGCACACGCACGCGCACACGCACACGAACGCGCACACGCACACGCACGCGACGCGCACGGGGCACGCGCACGGCCGCGCACGCGAACATTTGCACACACCTGCGCACAACGCCACCAGCACGCGCAGCGCACGCGCAGCGCACACGCACCAGCACGCGCACGCGCACGCGCCGCGCACGCGCACCACGCTCACGCGCACGCCAGACACACGCACAGACACAGGCCACAGGCACAGGCACAGCACAGACCAGGACACAGGCACACGGCACAAGGCACCGTCACAGACGACGCCGGCACGGCCAGCACAGGCACAGACACAGGCACAGACACAGCACAGGCTCAGGCACAGACACCGACACAGGCCAGCACAGGCACAGGGGAAGACGCAGGACAGCCACGGCGAACAAAGCGCGCAGACAGCAAACACAGGCAACAGGCAAGACACAGACACAGACACAGACACAGACAATATAAGGCACAGGCACAGGCACAGGCACAGACACAGACACATGCACAGTCACAGACACAGACACAGACACAGTCACAGACAGAGACAGAGACAGAGACAGAGACAGAGACAGAGACAGAACAGAGCAGACAGAGACAGAGGCAGAGACAGAGACAGAGACAGAGAACAGGCAGACAGACAGACAGACAGGCAGACAGACAGACAGCCAGACAGACAGACAGAGACACAGACAGACAGACAGACAGGCAGACAGACAGACAGGCAGGCAGGCAGGCTCGCAGGGCCTCCGACAGGGCTGAGATGACGCGGCTTGGGCACGGCGCCGCCCACGCCATGCCCCTGTTCTGGGACGCTCTCGGCCAGGTCATCGGCCCGCGCGGCAAGTTCAGCAGCTGGGAGAAGGCGGCCTGGAAGTTGGACACGCTGGCACCTATGATGGATGTGAACAGGCCTGCCGACGGGCTGCTAGGCGGTCGCCTCTACCTCCACGGCTCGGCGCTCGACCCTGAGTTCGAATACATCTGCAGGGCAGGCTGGAGTGTCGTGCAATGCGACGAGTTCGGCAACCTGCAGGCGGCGGTGTACGGCACGGTCCGCCTCGACCTGTGCCCTTTCCAGACGGCGAAGGACGGCGAGGACTTCGCGGTCTGGATGCTGAGCCGCTACCTCGGGCCTTCGATCATCGAGATCAGCATTGACTGTGCGTCCACAGTCAGCTGCTTGAAGCTCGGCAGGAGGTATGCGACGGCGGCCAACAAGCCCAATGCTCACCTGTGGTCGGCCGTCTACGCCTCGCTAGACGTCGACCCGCCCATCGTGAACAAGGTCGAGGCCCACTGCGCCGAGATCGATGTTCGCGAGGGCAGGATCTCGGAGGGTCAGTGGCTTGAGAACGCCCACGCCGACAGACTGGCGAAGGCGGGGGCGGCCCTCCACAGGGTCAGCGCGACTGCCAGGCGCGAGCTCTTCGGCGCGATGGAGGTCGTGAGAGAGCTCTCCAGGTGGATCGCGCAGGTCTCGATCGTCTGGCAGGGCAGGGCTTCCAAGGACTGCGAGGGCCTCCCCGTGTGCGACGAGCGAAGGACGGCTGTCACCTTCGCGGTCCCGCTGGAGGAGCGTGCTGACGGCCTGCGGGCGCCTCCCGTGAGCGAGTCGGACGCCACGCCCGCCGCCGTGGAGGCCCGCGGGGAGCAGGCAGGCAGCCGCCCCGCCGTTGCTGGTGCCTGGGCCTCGGCGGCACGCGACGGCGGAGTCGCGCTGGGCGCCCTGGTCTTCGCCGTCGCTGGCCACACCCTCGCGTACGCCAGGTGCGGGGAGGACGGCGACGAACAGGAGATCATTGCGTGCACCAGGTGCGGTGCGTATGCGAGGCTAGGCGGACGCCTTGGCCCGCAGCCCAAGCTCAGGGAGCGCTGTCTTGGGGCAACAGGCCTCCCCAGGTCGCTGCG